CCGACGGACGGAGTAGTGACTACCTACCTTACCCTACTTACCTTAACTACGACTTGTACTCCTACTATTGTCCGTCTACCTCCCTCCCTCCCCTCCCTCCTCTCTCTCTCTCTCTCTCTCTCCCTTTCTCTCTTAGTTACTGCTACATGCTAAACGCAAGATTGGGAAATGAACAATAAAAAAAGACCAACCACATGTACAAAGACCAACCACAACTCTCTCTCCAAAAAAAAAAAAAAAAAAAAAGAAAAAAAAAAAAAAACCTACTCTCTCTATCACTCTCATGCTTTTTTTTTTTTTAACCTCGGTGCCAATTACATGCCCCTACCCGTTTTAGAAATAGACAGATTTTTATTGCATTAGTAAAACGAGGCCGTGACTTTCAACTGGGAGACGGTGGTACTACCACCACGACCCAACCCCATTCTCTCTTATTGTGCACATAAGCTTTAAAACCGATGGGTTGATTTTTGACAAATAAAATATGAAAAATAAAATTACGAGAACACAAATATTCATGGGCATGACAAATTGAAATCTATTATACTCATGAGTGAACTATTTTAAACCACTCTTCATTCCTTCTATTTACTTCTGACAATCATTAATGATAATATCAGATAGAGATCCAAGAGCAACAAGAAATTGACTTTCCCTCTAACTAAAAGGAAAGACTACTCAAAATCTTTATGGGAACTATTTCTCACTTCTCTATAAAAAAAAACTCTCTCAATCTTCACCATCACAATGTTTCTCTCAATCTTCAGAGTCCACAAGAGGCACCATCACAATATTTCTCTCCATAATAAGCTCTCTTCTCTCTAAGATGAAACGCGTTTCTCTCCATAATAAGCTCCCTTTTTTTAATAAGATGATTGCATCTTATGCACAAGAGGCTTTACTTCCCTCTCTCTATCTCTCTCTCTCGAGGAGGCCATTTTCTCATAGGGTCCTAAATAAGCACACAAATTCATTGCACTTTTATCCCATATATATAATATTAGGAGTCCATACTAAATAGGAAACTTACTATAGATGTTACATATATCTCAAGGACCAAGAGATATATATCCAAAAGTCTTAATTCTTTTGGATTTCTATTTCATTTAAGAAACTTGTCAAATATCAATGTCAATCTCACATAATAAGAAAATATCTCAATCCCATATAATATAAAAAAATCTCAATCTCACATAATATGGTAATATCCTTATGTAATTGATTTTAGACAGCACCATATCCAAAAGTCTTAATTCTTTTGGATTTCTATTTCATTTAAGAAACTTGTCAAATATCAATGTCAATCTCACATAATAAGAAAATATCTCAATCCCATATAATATAAAAAAATCTCAATCTCACATAATATGGTAATATCCTTATGTAATTGATTTTAGACAGCACCATATCCAACACCTCTCTAACTCTCTCACGCTTCTTTATACTGGATGTTGTTTTGGAATAAATAAATCATTTTCTTTTCTGGTGCAATTTAAAAAGTGTTGCATTTCTTAAGATGATATAAAATTTAAATTGTTTGTATAAAATTGATTTTGTAGATTATTACAATCTTACTCCTATAAATAAAGTTAGAACTTTATATAAACTTTCACCTTTTTTTGACTCTATCTCTTTATCATACTACGTACTTCACCATGGACAGTGATGTGCCCATCTCATCTTGACCATTCGACCCCATGATCTTTGTGGATCGATTGTTGTTTGGTGACAATAGCATTTTGTTAGCCAGTGAGCCTGTTGATGTTTGATCTGGACTGGTATTAAAAAAAGGGTTGACCAAATATATTTTTTTATAAAGAGGTCACAATTATTTTTTGCCATTAGATTCAAAATTAGATGGTTTAGGGGATGCCATAAAGTTCGAAAATTTGTCTTTGAACTTTGAGTCTAGTCAATGACATACTCACAACCACCTGATTTGAAATCTATAAAGACAAGAGTGAGTGTGAACTTCTTGTAAAAAAAGTTTATAGATGGCATTATCCAAGTATTAAGGAAGTCAAAATCCCTTTTTTTTTTATTTGTTGGGTCTTTACCAAAATGCACAACGCTTGCACGCCCATGTGCATGGCAGTGATCTGTTTTCCCTGCCTTTAATGATGGTTGTCATCCGATAATCTAAAAAACTATTATTAGTTATTAGCTTATTGTCGATAATATGAAATCGTGATCTAGATTGGGAATTGGCCAGGACCGGTCTAGTTTCAACCAAGTATCAGAATCGGCCGGTCCCCTAAAGCCCACTTTATTTTTCAACCCTTGTTATTCTTTTTTGGCTTTTTCCGTGTAGTCTAGTGTTTAAAAGCCCACTACAACTTCCCTCATTTGGTTTTAATTTTTTTTTAATATTTACCTAGAGCGGGATCAACAGAAAGGTGATAAAGGCCACCAATCTAGCTGTGTGGCAATAGGCGGGGCTTGGGCAGAGCCGCCCTTGGCTCTAGCCCTATCCTAGTCCCCATAGGGCTGGTCTTGCCTTGACCGGGCCAAAAAGGCCTTGGCCCAGGCTTGGGCCTAATCCTATTAGAGCCGGGTCAGCTTAGTCCCCAACTCCGGCCTTGGGCTGTGGTTGCTTGGCCTTGGCTTGGCCCTCGAGCCACATTTCGTGGCCCATGCAATAGTTTTTTAGGGACAGGGTAGCTAGGCCACCTGGCCCCTTGCCACCCTTACAATCTTGTTTTGAGCACCGGTTATTAATTTATTTTAGTTTAATTTTTATTGTTCTTTTTGTAGGATAAGCTTCAAGAGTCGCACCCCGAGCCTTTCATAGACCGCGTGGTTATACCATGGAACCCTAGGGCCAAATACGCCCTGGCCCCTACATGCACCATTGAAGGTAAAGAAGCCTCTATGATCATCTTGACAAAAATGATAGATTGCCAGAAGTGTCCACCACTGTCAACAGAGCGGATGGGTGTGGAGATGGGGAAGTGGGACCCACAAATATGGGTCATGGCCTGTCTTGGTCAGTCTCACTCTCGTTCCATCACCATCAATTCATTTCATTGAACGATGATGAAATTTATCGTAAAAAAACTTTCTGTCCTCGTTTAGATCAAGGTACCCTTCCCCATTGGAGCAGTGATACCATGCAAAAATCACATTGGGGATACTAATACCATTTGTTGAGTGCCTATAGACCGTGCATTTTGTTAAAGAAAAGTATATTTGGAAACCATTTATTGTTTTAAATATTAGTAATAAAATAAAAAAAGATTACAAAATATGTCAATCTTATGCTATTCCAGCAAGGTACATATAAAGAATCCTACATAATAGATTATTCATAGTTGAAAACCCCACCAAATGATCATCTCAACCTCGTGATGTACCAATGCAAAAAAAAAAATAATTCAAGTCTTAAAAATAAAGCATCTTATAAGAAGTTAACAGGACTATTTGTTTTCAAGATTTTCAAATGTTTATTGATTTGTCTAATCTGTACCATTTTTAGAATTTTAAATTTCATAAGGAGGGATGAAATTTGATTTTCAAGCTATTTCTAACCAGAACTACATCTCAAGGCAAAATTTTGAGGTGCGCCGAACTTGTACAGTACAACGAGGCCACCTTATAGAAACCTCAAACAAAATACATGTCTCCATAATGCTCTTGAGGACCTGTAAATTGTATTGGTCTCATAAAATACATGAGATTAGACTCCTAACGACAGTATGTTGTAGGGCTGCTCCAAATCTAAGGGCCATCAGTGGCCCACCCACCGGAAAAATTTTGAGACCATCCCATCCTAACCACAATTTGGTGACAAGCATGGAGAAAGTGGGCTCACATGCTTCCCCACTTGATTAAAGACAATACCTAGCCAAAACTTACCCTTGTGTGCATATAGGATTTGTTGTTTTCTCCCCCTCATCTCCATGGATTCAAAAGCTTGTTTGCATGGCTCTCTTTCTTCCAATAGTCACATCTTTGCCCTATGTTCTATCCATCAAATCCTACCCAAAGATAGAGAAGACATTGAAGAATTAGCTGCATTTTTTTGTGCAAGTTTTCAACAAGGGGGAAAGACCTCCATCCTCTCCTTTGTTTATGTCTTTGCAGTGCCCGACCAAGGATTTGTGGTGGTCTTAGCTATGGCCATAAGGTGCTTGGGGTTTAGGCTACAGTGGCTAGATATGGGGGTCAATGACAGTTGTTGTAACTATGTTGATTGCTCCATTAGGCATGATCTCTTCGCTCGGTTGACAGGTGGCTTACGATCTCATAAAATTTGAAAAAATAGTCCATCCTACCCTTTTTGTCCTCAATTTTTTAGGGTTTGGTTCCCTTATGGCATAAATCTTTGATTTGGTTCCCTAATGTGAACCAAGATCTCTATAGTTGTAGGGTTTGGTTCCCTAATGTGACCAAAATCAATGTTTACTTTTGTTTCCTAATGTGAATCAAAAGCGTAACTCTTTTCAGTTTGGTTGTATAGTACTATCCATATCTAAGGTTAAATTCAGTGTTCCTTACTCATTGGATTTTATTATTAAAATGACTTAGGGCATGGTTGGTTCCTTAGTGTGAACCAAACCAAGTGTGACTCAGTCCCCTGGATATGGTCCCCTGAGATGACCCACATCTA